TTAATAGCTGTAGAATTATTTCGTACTTTAAAAAATTGAATCTTTTCTTTGTTTATTTGTCACAGGGTCTCGCTACCCAGCTCAGGCTCATAGTGGCCCCCGTCTCAGCCTCCCCAGGGCTGGGATTATAGGCATCACGCCTGGTTTCAGGGGCTGCACAGTGTGCCTGGGGTTTTAGGGCCGGCATAGCATGCGGTACTGGGGATCGAACTTGGGTCCTTGCGCTTGCCAGGCAGGCACCTACTTAAGCTGCTGAGCTATCTCCCCAGCCCCTCATACTTTTTTACATAAAAAAATACAGTTAAAAGTGAGTGACTTGGAGCCAGCTGTCATAATTATTAGGCACAGTAATATTTGCTGAGTTTCTTGACACTATTAAGTGTTCAGTAATAGTATTAATATTTGTAGCCTCAGGGGTATAGCAAAATAGGAAGCTGTTTGGGCTTGATGTGCCCATACATTACCAGATTCAGACCAATTCTCTGATCAAGTTCCGGGTTCTTGATGGTTTGAAATGCATAGCTGCTTCCAAACACTGCACTTGATTACTGTGGTGTTACTGAAATTCCCATTCCTACTTCCCTCGTTAGACAACAGCATCTTGAACTTCTGCTTTGTCTAAAGAAAAAATTAGACACTAAGAACTTAGCTATATGTTAAAATCATCCGATATTGTGACCAAAATATTCTTTGTCTTAAGTGGGGCAGTATAAGCAGAAGGGACCTGGACCCAAACACCCTGCAGTTGAGAGCGGGGTGAGGGAGATAGCTCAGTGGCACAAGCATGTGCCTGGGAAATGCAAGGTCCTGAGATCGATTCCCAGTAAAGAAAAAAAAAAAAATGAGAATGATACTCCTAACGAGGTGTTTGACATTTTATTAACTTTTACTGTGAAATGTATTTTGTACATACTGACCAAGATCATTCTTCTTCACTGAGCTAGTATGACATGCCACATTTGCTACCTCTAGCTACTATTTCTTCATTCCTGAACTGACTTGAGTCTAGAGGTTACACTAGAGAACAAAACTTCATTCCCTCCATAATTTTGTTCATTTGCTTGCTAATAGATTGTGGGCTTTCTAATTAAAGTCTGTTGGAAGGAGCTATTCCATGAAGTAATGTATGAACCATATAATGTGTTGGGCAGGTGCTGGATGGGTGACTGTCATAATTTCTGCTGGTACAGTTTTTGAAAAGGAAAATAGAGTGAGTTCTTTCTGTTGGAAAGAAGATTTCATGTTATCTGTCTTTGCAGGCTTTCTGGCTCGCGCGCCGGAGGAATCCTTGCTGCGGGGGTGTTTTCATTTTCGCGTCTAACATGGCAGTGGTCCATTGCAGCAGAGGTTTTTAGCTTAAACAATCTGTTTGTGGGGCTGCTTATGGCTCTTACTGTACATTTTGAGGAGGCGAAAACTGCAAAGGAGAGATCAAAGGTAACCTATTTTGATCAAAGTGAAATCATTTTTGTTTTAATTTTTAGACAGATTTTGTGTTTCCTTTTAACTTTGGTTCAGATGCTGTTTATCTATTCTGATTACTGTCAGGGTAATCTAGGCGTGTTAAGAGAGAGAATGTTCTCAGTCCTTTGATTATGAGTGACCCACAATAGCCCTCATGGGACATGGGACTTTTTCTCCTGAGTTGAGAAGTTTCTTGGGAAAGGAAGGATTATAAAACCCTCCTTGAGTACAAGAGGAAAGGCAGGCTGCTTAGTTCATCCACCGTCCCGTGTGTGTGTGTGTGTGTGTGTGTGTGTGTGTGTGT